TATCGGACTAAAAACTGTGCCTCTATCCCGAAAATAAAATTAAAATAGTGTTGAAGTTGTCACTTACCACCATCGAACATTTACATGCAGAACTCCGCTATGCTAACATCTGTTGTGTGACCCGAAGACTCTCCGTAGGAATTATTAAAGCGCGTTGTTCGTGCTATCTTCTAGATAACAATTTCAGAATAATCTGCAGATCTCTATGATTATTTACCTGTTTCGATTGTAACATTCTACTACTACATATAAATCTACATCTCTCTAGATCGAGTGTTGCCGGCGTTTAATTGCGTGACTTGTAAAATTTTTAAATGAGAATGAGCCAGCAGTAATTTGACGAGTAGCCTTCCTGCAAATTTCCCTTGATGAAATCCGAAGACATAGCCAGTTGTTTTCGTGAGCAAAGACAATAAATATGAAAGAAAAGTGAGATGCAAATGTCTCTTTTTTTTAGCTTAATAGCAGCTGTACCCTCTCCTGCAGTCTTCGTCTAAATTTTGCAAGGTCCCTCCGTATCTTATGCCTTGTTCGGTCAGTTTCGAATTCTGAAGCTAGATCATTGGCATCGGCCTCTCCGTCCTCATTCATATTTACAGAGGGGGACCTCATCAATAAACCAATTTTTGTTACGGCAGATAAGCGGCTGAAGTATCGAGCGATTTGCTGCTGTATCAACCCGTCAGTCTTAGACAACATTTCTAGCTGGTGTCGTCTCTTAAACTCTCTCGATATTAGGGAAATCACATAAGAGGACGTTGCCTTACTAATTTTCTCCCTTGCCCAGCACACGTCTAGGAGATAATTCTCTGCTTTCTGAGAAAAGGTGGCTGTTTTTTGTGTTTTCCAAAGAGCCCATCCAAAGTTCACTTGGCTAGTTGGGGATTGTTCGTCAGAATTTTTACCTGAGGTCCGACCTTGAACGTAGCCATCCCCTATAGAATGGCAAGCCGGTCTTAGTCCATTTCCTCTTGATCTTATCCGAGGCGTAATTTTTTTGTCGGCTTCACTGTGTTTGTCTTTGTCAGGGTACATTTAGATGGCAGCCAATGACTGAAACGTCTTGATACATCCTTCTTTTAGCAAGAATATCTCGCTTTCTTGTTCCGTCTATGACGGATTGGGTATAGTTCTCGCGATGACCCGCGTTCAGAAATCTGTGCAAGTTGCTGATAACCACCCGCTTCTAAGATTAGTTTGCTGAAGGTTTCTAATGTGATGAGTCTAGTGAGACCCTGAGGTGCTTCAAACTGTGCCAGTTAGTCTACGCTATAAACTTGCCGCAGTTCTTAAGTCAGAGGGAGGATCGC